ATGTTGTCGCCCTCGCTCATGGCGCGATCACGTCCTAACTCACACTGCAAACTTGCCCGAGAAAGGTAATCCGCGTTGTTATCAGCACTACGAACATACTCAATAACGTAATTATATGCCCCTAAAAACATCGCATATCTCTGCAATCTGTTAGCGGATACCTCTGGTATACCTTTATGAGGACCAAAGATAGATATTAATGGCTTATGATCCGTGCGTAATATAAAAGGATCTGATCTCCCGTATAAGTACTGATGGAACCGACGTATACCAAATATTATTGCAGTCGCTTCCTTCTGTATTTGTGAATAATTTTTCTCAGCCGCGTTCAATGTGCGGGAAGCGAATGCTACTGGGCGCTCTACCCGTCCTTATCTATTTGAGACAAAATACCTCCCAAGCCATTCGGAGACGCATCCACAGTTAACTACTTTGGCATTTGGGTTAAAGTGTGTTAGAACCTGATCAGACGTTAAACATTTCTTAATTTTATCAAATGCATGTTGATGTAACGTAGACCAGTTCCACTTTACTCCTTTTTTTAATAGTTCATACAAAGGACTCAGGATATAGGATGCCCCAGCCACAAAATTTCTGTAGTAATTTACCAGTCCTAAAAATGACTGTAGGGTATTAATATCGGAAGGAACAGGCGCCTCAGCTATAGCTTTAACCTTTGCAGGGTCTTTCTGTAACCCATCCTTGGTTATTATATAACCTAAATATTTAATTTCATTTTTAAAAAATTCACATTTTTCTTTTTGCACTGTTAACCCCGCATCCTGAAGCCTTTGCAGAACTACGTTCAACTTCTTCAAATGTCTCTCCGGGGTTTGGTCAGTGACTAAAATGTCGTCGAGCAAACATAAGACACCGTCTAGTCCCGAAAGTATTGTTTCCATAGCGCGTTGGAATATAGACGGGGCGCTAGACAACCCAAAAACTAGTCGAGTATAATAGATTCTTTAATAAACAATTTTTTATTTAAAGGAACTCTGATACCCATGTAATTATATTATGTTTCTATTAGGTACAGTAGTAGGTACCTATTGGCCTATATTATATCATATATATTTCGTATACATTTATCTCGTTTGACAGACAACTAATAACGGGTGTCGTAAATAAATGTGTTACCGAGCAAAGAAATTCGTGTTTTCTTTCAAAATATCAAAGAAATAGACATTCGAACCACATCAGAGGCTATATATTACATATACTATACAACTTGGTGAAAACATATCGTATAATAAATATATGTATATACAAACCTATATCATTCAAATATATCAAAAACCGTCTGCGAAATAAAATGTAAATGGCGTCGGCAAAAGGAGACGCGTTTTACCCCACCCTGTAGCAGTACTACAATACAGCGTGTTCAATATTAAGACTTGCCAATATTAATTCTGGAAGAGATGAAATTTGAATGGAAATAAATTGTAATGTCGCCGCTGGTATTACTATTTGCTTTTAGCGGGTATATTGCAGGTTAGGGAATACAAGTACCTAAATATAACTGTTGTATTATTTCGGTTTATTTAAATGGCTTCCCTGGGTATTGCTTTATGATTCTCTTGAAATAGAATGTTGAAATTGAAGGTTGAGTTCTATAAAAGGTAATATTTTATTTCTAAGAATATGAGAACGTTATTCTTATAATATAGCACGGCATAAAGTTTATGCTTACTAAGTGTTATTAGACGAGGAAAATCGACTAAATGAACGTCCCTAGTTTAATTTTGTTATTGGCAACACAAGCTGTCGTTTTGACGCTGTCATCTGTGAAATGTGACAGATTAGTAATGTTTCCCGTGCAAAGAGTTGTAACGGCCATACGTGTTGGAAATTTGACGAGCATTATGCCTTGTTTGCACGACGCTAGTAATTTAGTCGAGTTGCGAATATTTAGTAGTTTTCTCTCATTTCCATTTTGGGACCAAAGCGAGAGAGGACTATTGAATATTCGCTACTCGACTAAAATACTGGCGTACTGTGAACAAAGCATTACGCTGTTTCCTAATAAGAATCCGTTTTATAATAAACTTTCAATGTTTGAGTATTAAGTTTTACTTAAAAGTATAATGTCTTCATGGTAGGACTTCTAAATATGAACAATAACTTTCGAAAAGATAACACGTCTTATAATTGATGAAATAGGGTTTCGATAAATCGACTGATAGGACGGACATCGCTGACTTATCTATAGAAATAAATTCGAAATTGCTGTTAAATATATTTTTTGAGAAACATTTCATCTATTATGTTTCTTTTAAAAAACGGAGGATCAAATAATAACAATTATTTTTTCACATAAATAATTGCTTCTAATTGTGAACTTCAGTAATGAGGATCATTCTGTCCCCCTCCAACTCTCATTATCTCTCTTTAACCTCCCTTCGAAATAGAACGGACGCTGGCAAAATATTTTGATTTATTTCACAAAGCCGGACCGTTTAGATAGGTATAAACGGCTGCACAATAAGCTATACCACTCTTTTAGATTCCAAAGACAATTTTCAACTTTATTGCTATAGTATAAGATTTAAAATGTTTTAAAGAAAATGAGACTTACGTATAGGTTGATGTGCTGTTGTCTACACAGTCTCGTGGACTAAATCCCGGCTCGACTGATTAATTACTCTTGAATGTACAAATATAACGCGGAATTAATAATTCTATCGATATTGGAAATCGGGAATCAATCAGAATAATTGGTCGAGATATAAATTTGAACGGGAATTAATACCGAGCGAGACTGTTCATGTATTATAATTACTTTTTTGAAACAATGGTTCCGTTAATGGATTTATTTATTGTTTATTTTTGGGGATTGAGAATCCCCATCAAATTGAATCATAGAATGTGTAAAATGCTGATATATGACAATGAGCTCTTCCTAAATCATGGGCAAAAAGTGGCTACGGTGACCGTTCACCATCTGATGGCAATCTTTGTTCCTACGAAAAATTCTTTAAAAATTAGAACTTTCATTTTGTAATACGCGCCATCTATTATCGTCTTCGAAAAACAAGGAGCATAATGACATGTTTTGACAATATTAACAATCTATTTTTAGATTATTCATTCGATTGACATATTTTCGAGCATAACACCTTTCATACGTTTTGTAATACTCACATCACATCAACAGCCTATAAGTAATCACTGCTGACCAAAGTTGTGATCCAATACAAAATTCATTTTTTTATGGAATAGGAGCAGACGAGCAGACGGATTACCTGACACCCGCAACACCAGAGGAGTCAGAGGTGCGTTGCCGGCCTTTTAAAAAGGAGTACGCTCTTTTCTTGAAGGTATGAAGTTAAGGTATGTTATATACATAGGTTTGTTTCATAGAAAAGTATCGTTTTTGACATTTCAATAAAAGTATTGAATTTGACTACCTGTCAACTACCGTATTAATGAGAAATACTGAAAAATGCTTTGTACAATTACATGAGCAAATGGATTAACTGCTGGAACATTTAATTCGATTCACGAACTACTGCTGATGTATGGAAAGTCGGTTCGCTTTAAATGACTCAGTCTGCGCCGCACTAGACAAAGGATGGATGAGAATGCAATGAAGTATTTTAACTGATTGGTATCTACAGTGGAATATTTAAAAAGTGTATGAATAGTACAATTGTCACTTATGAATGTTAATTTTATTTTGATTTTAATTTTATTTTATTTTTGATTATAAATATTTTCATTGTGACTTTTATTCATTAATTTAAAATCGATTAGTTATATGTTACACTTTGATTACAAGATATTTAATGATAAAATGTCAACTTTACTTAAAAAAATGTTAACTTCATTCTATTAAATGTTGCTATCCATAAATGTAACTTAGCTTTAAGCGTATTGTAACACCTTATTCACTTTATGGTATGCAAATAAATGAATATGAATAATATTATAATCAGCTAAGTATTATTGGCTTTTTATTAATTTGTGTTTGGATGTAAAAGACAACATTTAAAACTATACATCTGTACATTGACCGTAAAAAAATTGTAAACTATCTTTTTCATATGATACTTGAAACTCTAAATTACCTAATAAAATTATAAAATGTAAAGTGAGAGCCATAAACCTATTTTGTTTCAGATTTTTTAAAACAAAACCAACACGATGCCTATGGGGGCTAATAGGCGCGCCATTAATGGGATTGGGATCCATGGGATTTATTGCATAACTCGCAGAAAGTGGATTTTCGACACACCTCTGTGTACCCAGGAGTAGCAGTAATGTATTATGTAAATGTTTATTTCATTCAGCCGAATTATATACTTGGCTGGCTCTGTAAGCCACGGACAAACAAATTAAACACAAGCCTTCTCTTCTGACTTTGTACCAGCCATTAACTTATCATTACGAACATGCCATTTGAATAAAAACAAATAGAAGGATTTAAATATTTTTAATGGCAACATTAATTTTTACTTAACCACGGGCTAACGTCGTCTCTTGAATATTTCTAAACAACTTTTTACATTCAAATAAATCGTTTTAGGTATAATATAATACATTTTATTTGAAATTCAAAATTAATTTAAACAATTTTTTTCTATTCTATAATAAACGTAACTACAGTTTGTATATCGTTTAATTTATAGCTGGCAACATTGTAAGTATAAAGTGTTTACCACAATGAGCTTGGCACGGCTTCAAATTCACGATCGATTGACCGGAATCCCAATTAGTCATTGAACCAATTGTAATGACACTAATCACATCTTATTTAAAGACAATAAGTTTCGACATCGCTTCATTTGTTGCTATAAATAAGGAATGATTAACTAACATGTTCTTTTATAATAGTATTCATGATAAATGCTAAATATATGAAGGGCATAATTGAGCATTCATCATTGGCAAGTGGAATGGTACCTAATCTAATACCCATCTGCTTTCGTCACTCAATGTCTGTCCCACAAAGGACTAGACAAGAGTAAGCATGTAAACAAGGTTAAAGAACAATGAACCTTTTATCTTTCGTTATTAGATTCGGAATTCTCCAAATTCTGTCCCTCATCACTTAAGATACTGTCCAAGATATTGTCTTCGTCACTTCTCGCCGCCACGTCACCTGCTTTGCCCAGCACTTCATTTAGTATTTCGTCGTCATTCAGTTCACCATTTACCATTTCGACATTGTCACTATCTACGTTATTTTCAACTTGTTCACTTTCTTCAGGTACTTGATTATCGTCTTCAGCTATTTCAGGAACTGGACTTAAATCACTAGGTTCTACTTCTTTGGTTTTAGTTTCTTCTGCTTCAATCATTTCCTCATTAATTTCTTCAGTCACTTCTTCTTTCTCGTTTATGTTTATTTCTTCATTCTCATCATCAGCTACATCTCCATCTATTTCTTCTTCTTCGATTCTTGTTGACTCTTCCTCTTCGTTCTCCTTAGATTCGTCTATTGTTTCCTGTCGTTCCACCTTTAATGTTGATCTTCTAGAATTTTGTCTGGGAGCTTCTTGTTGTTCTTCTTCATGATCATTTTTGTGAACTGATACATCATCACTGGCATCTGATGCTTCGCTTGCTGTGTATCCATTCTTTAACCTTTCTTGTCTTTCTTTCCTAGCTTTTTGTTTGACTTCCCACAGTGAAGGTATACGTTTCGAGTTATCTTGATTTTCTCCATCCGCGTGGTATAGAACAATGTCGTCGGTGTATCGGAGTACTGGCTGTGGTGGATATTTGTCCCTGGAAAAATAAAATAATTATTATTTTACGAATCAAAGTGATCGAAGAAGTGGTGTAAAGGGTTTGGAAGGTCTTTAGCAAACTGTTGATGTTGACAAAATCTGTTATAGAATTAATGAGGATTTTGGTTTCTGGAAATAGACATTATAAAGATACAAACATAAACCGAGAAAGGAATAATAATAAGTAGGTGCGTTAGAGTTTAGACAATATTTGGATTACAACACAGGTAGAGATATTACAAGGTTTCGGAGTAGGTGCGAATGAATACATTTCTGGCACCTTTACAGACGCGAGATGACAACTTGTTGATACACTAATGACGGTCCTAAAATTCTAGATCGGAGTCAGTGTCGGAGTCCCAGCTAAAACAAAACATGAGTGAGTAGTAATACCATAATGGTTATAAATATTGCAATGATATTATTTTGATAATAATAATGTAGAAATAGTTTTTGACGATTTTTATTCTTTTTTCTTCTCAGCCGACTTACTATTGACAGAGAGGTCATCGTTCAATGATTATAGGGTCACTAGTATAATTTTGATAACTGTTAGGCAAAGGTGCACATTATGCCACTGTTCAATATATCACCCTTTTTTCACTATTTATGTTACGAATCCCATGAAATAGGGAGTGAGCCTATTGCCATATACCGGGCACAATACTCCGCATTACTACTGATTTTTTTTTTTAAAACCCAATTATTCTTTGCCCGACCCGGAAATTGTGGCATTTGCAACCACTTGGCAGCAACAACAACAACAGATACTATATATTATTTCCCCAATTCTCCATGTTTGCAAATAAATGAATGAATTTGAATATGAATTCGTTAAATATTCCTCACCTGCGTGCTTCTTCATATTTGCTGGGCACCATGAAACAGTTCGATTCCCTGTATATAAGCCTTCGCTTGCTGACCCAAGGCCATTGTAAACTCCAGTAGTGGCTCTGAAAAATTATTTCGTAAAATTCAGAAGTCATAGAGGTAAAATATATAAAAACGTAATGTATGCCAGATGCCTAAAATTATTTAATAAAACTCTAGCTTCTGCATCTGGCTTCACCCGCGTTCCAATGGAATAAAAAGTAGCCTATGGTGATGATTATGTTATTCCAAAGTTCCAGACCGTTATATATCCCTGTTCCAAATTCCATCCCGATTCCTTCAGGCGTTTTGACGTGAAGGAGTACAAACAAACATACAACATTCGCATTTATAATATTACTAGTTTTTACCCGCGGCTTCGCTTGCGTCACAAAAGAATAAAAAGTAGCCTATGTGACATATACCAATACACACAGCGCCATCTATACCAATACTTTTCTTTTTCCTAGGGAATATCAATTTTTTCCGGGTTAAAAAGTACCCTATTATTTAATCCGGACTTCTAACTTTACGTCTGCAAAAATTCAAAGCAATCGGTTGAGTAGTTACGGCGTGAAGGTGGAACAAAAAAACAAACAAACTCACTTTTAGATTTATAATATTAGTAAGGATTAATATGACATCATCCCTATTATTTCTAAAGGGAGAAGAGATATATTTAACAGACAACAATTAGTTAAGGTATCAAGGTTTGACCCTTAGCCCTTTGAGTACTGTCATTATAGACACAATTAAAGAACAATAGGTTGCGGTCACCGGTGTCTTCGCGGTGTTTGACAGTTTAAAATACCTCTACATTAACTCACAATCCAATAACACGTGGTTACGAAATTACTAGAACACTTTAATTTACTAAAATAATAAACTTTATATAAATAGAAATTATAATCGAGACACGACAGTTTTGATTGATGAAGCATGTTTTTGTTAACTCTGTAATATTCGTTGAAAGTTTTATAAATGAATTGTAAATACCTACGGTATTCCTGTTCCACATAAAAACGCTGGTGTAATTCATGGAGCTGGTATTTGCATAATGATTAAATTTTTGTGTTTCTAATAACTATTTAAAAGAAATTCCTTTTCTCTATTAACTAAATTAACATAATGAATCCTACTAATAATATTAATACTATATATTTAAGTGTGGGAGAGCCATGCTTTAGCACGAAATGGCCGGCTCGACCGGAGTGATACTACGGCCTCACAGAAAATCGACGTGAAGCAACGCTTGCGTTGTGTTTCGTCGTGTGAGTGAGGTTACCGAAGGCCCAATTACTCTCCGCTTCCCCAATATCCCCAATTCCTGAATCCCCAACGATCCTCGAACTCCTAATTCCCAAAAGGCCGGTATCGCACTTGTAACGCTTCTGGTGTTCCAGGTGTCAATGGTCGACGCCGATTGCTTACCATCAGGTGATACGTCTGCTCGTTTACCGGCTTATGACATAAAAAAATATTATAAATCCGATAGTTTGTTTGTTTGTTTGTTACTCCTTCACATCAAAACGGCCGAAGGGATCGGAATGAAATGTGGAATAGGAGTAGATTATATAACACGTAACGGGTACACGGGCAAAGCCGCTAGCAGAAGCAAGTAAATTGTTTATTTATATGATAAGGCTATCAACTGCTAGGTATCATACATAACATACTAGAAGATACATAGGAGTATCATCTGCGTACCCTAAGAAAATCTCAATGGAAAAATAACTTCAATAACAATCATTATTATTTTTTTACTTATATTCCATAGCAACGAGTATCTTTTGGGTGCTTACTCTTAAAACCAATCTCAATGTCAATGCAATTTCAATTTAATAAAATCTCAATAATTATTCAATGTCAAAACTATATAACCCCTATCGTAGCTGTTAAAATAGCATTCAGAGTGCGGAATGTATAGTCAAACTCAGTACCATTTAGGTCCTTCAATATCTACGCAATACCGATGCAATGGGCGCTAGTGTTGCAATTCAAGAGTACGAAATTTCACAATACCAATGTCGATCGATCGGAATTGTATTCAAGAGTAAGCCCCCTGGTGTTATAATAAAATTAAACTCTTAGTGAGTGTTTAATGACTATTTATAGAGAGTATGTGAATAAGACAATTCATACATACCACTCTAGCGCACACCCTCCTCTTCTTGGCCTTCTCTTCTTCCAGTCTCCTTTCCTCCTCACTGTCGTAGCCATCGACCTAAACAATAATGTGCACTAAGTTATAGCCTGACTACGGTATTGAAGAAGAAACCTACTGAAAGTCATTCCGAGATCTCGAACCTTTTTTTAAGAGAAATAATCATCCTTGACATCATCATCATCCATGAGTTCTCCCACCTTGGGTTAGGCGAGAGCGAGTGTCAGACTCTTACTGACTAAAAAGCTCCCCGTTCCTACTACTGCAGCCCTGACAACCCGTTGGGCCTTCCGCGGCTCCTTATCGCGCATCATCAGCCCTACTGGGCCCCATCTGTGGTGGTCTGATGGCTCTTTGAGGCGCGGGGAACGCGACCCGACCCCGAACCTGGATTTCTGGTGATCATCGTGATCAGCTTCAGAACATAGCGGCTTTATTATAATTCTCAGACTTAGCAGGTGATTTCACGATCCCGATTACGATTTTAAAAATGTAACTGTGTCATGCATGCCATGTTAACTGGTCGCAATTGTAGGACATACCCGGGTCGAAATTATGTTTTTTTTTTTATATTTAAGGGTCCGACGTTCGACCACTATCTCGTCTGGTTGTAAGCGATGATGTGGTCTACGATGGAGTACGTCGGTCCATAAGCAACCTATTTCTACTAATAATGAGGAAAATTAATCACTTTCCCAATTCTGGATACGAAATCAAATACTCATTCTCATACCACAAACTCAATACTAACTATTCAATGAAAGTTTGAATAGCACATTGTCACAAGTAAATCAAATCTCTGAATAGTAATTAAACATTGAATAAATGTTCCTATAAACACACCGTACTTACATATTACGTCACCAACAAGTTTACAAAGGAAATAATTATTTCAGTAGAAACTTGATTACAGTCAGGCTGTAACGACATTATTGTTCACTATAGTTCAGGGATACATAGCTTTGAATGAGATACAGAATTGTGCTAGTATATCGCTACAACGCTTCAAGCAGATGTCTTGTAAAGATTTTATGTTCTTTCAAATTAAGCATTGTTTAATTTCAGCTCTAATATTTCACTTTTGAATAAAATAAGTTATGATACTATTATCTTGCCATCAATAGAAATGAGTTAATATTTTTAATATTTAACTTACTATAGGATCCTCATAGCAGTAGTATGCATCTTCTTCATCATCTGGCCTGTAAATGACAAATAGCAACATTAATAAAATTGATAATTTTATAGTCTAATTACTACCTTACCTATACGAAAAACTATACTGCTAAGGAGTGGAATTCTTTGCCAGAGTCTGTTTAAGTCTGCCGGAGTTTATTGGTATCTTATGATTAACATTATCTCAACCTCTTGAATAAACATTTGCCTTTCGTTTGTCTTCGATAACATAAATCATCGATCAAGCTTCCTTGTGCGTACTGCTACGGAGTGGAATTCTTTGTCAGTCTGTATTTCCTGGGTGTCTTCAAGGTCCGAGTTAATAACTTGCTTATGGGACGACATGCTGCATCGTAGACCGCATCATCAGTAAGGCGAGATAGTAGTTAAACGTAGGCCAATCAAATATAAAAAAAAACTTCAAGCAAAACTAAGTGAAGCAAAATATTTCTTTTTTAACTAGTCCCTGCCTGGTAACTAGGCCTGCAGATGTCTTTGAAATTAAGTTATAGAATCAAAACGTATTATAGTTAGGTATAGGAAGAGTTTCACTATTGAGCATTTTTTTGATGACGGGGTTCAACCTTTATAAGACGCCTAGGTTTTTGGAGACACAGACTAGGGAGCGTGGGACTTTTACCTCACCAAAACCACCTCTGTGGCCACCCTCAACACCTGTAAGGGACACCGTGTCCTCTGCTTTACTCCAGAGTACACTATTGAGATTAAGTTCTCTCCCACTACCAGCCATACTCACGAGGTGACAGACAGCTTCAGATGGATTCCAGATTCGACGATAATGTCATGAGCCTGCTGGATGGTGAGAGTCGAGGTGTCCAAGTCATTGATCCTCAGTAGCTTGTCTCCAGGCCGAATACCAGCTTTCTCGGCTCTGCTGTCTGGCTTTACCTTTATGAATTGAAATAATATACATCAAGTAAAGAGTAATTATATCTCGCTTCCATAACTTTGTGTCCATTGCTTTTTACTTTTACACACGAATACAATGATTTTTTTATAGGATAGGATGTCAAAACACCAGACAGATAGCCAGTAAGCTATTAGACTCTCAGTCACTTATACCCGCAACACCAGAGGGGATACAGGTGCGTTGCTTGCATTTTAGAGGTAAGGGAATTTTCATTTCGATTTTTAAAGTTAAAATTAAAGAACTTTAAAGTGTTCTACTTACGAAAGTAACTCGTAACGGAGTCTTATAAAATATGCCACCAGCTAGATCGAAGCCCCATATAGTGTCTTCAAAGCTGACCCTCTCGTGGATGCCCTCGTTTCTGGACTCCCAGGAGGGTTTGTTCAGTTCTCCAGCCAGGAGAGCTGCCTCCTCAGCCTTCAGCTTCGTGTGTCTCATCGAAATCGCCATGTCTGGTGGCATTACCCTGAGGACAAGAAGATGAACATTTTACGCTTAAATCGCAATTTTTGTGATATTAATATAATTGATTTTATTATTTTATATTTTAACGTTTCCCCACTCTAGGATTTTCTCCTGTGTCATGGATGCGTTTACAAATATACAAGAGAAGCGAAACAACGATTTGTGGATCACACAAAGAGTTGGTCCGTGCGGGAATCGAACCCGCTACTCCTTACACGGCAACCAGTTTCCCAACCACCGCCTCAACCGTGTAGTCGTTATATTAAGAGACAACACGTGCGTTTTGTCATTTTTTACGATGGTTTTAATCATAAAACTCATAGTGGCGTTTCTTCCCTGGTCACTGACTACCTTTGACACAGTACTCTACATCGAACTAGGCACATAAATTTATACATTCAATACAGTCGTTATTCCATAAGCCGATGTAATAAATTGCTGTCTATACATCAATACGAAGACGTGTTTCATCCCTCATGACAAATGACGTCACTTCCTACATATAGACTGGAGTAGTTGATATACTTAATACTTGACATAAAAAGGGTGTATTTTAAGTTACTGCAAAAAATATACGCACTTGGAGGCTTCTTTAGCGGAATGTTAGTCATTCTGCTGAAAAATTGTATACAATTTATTTCAGATATTAAGTTAGGCAAAGTAGGCGCTGCGGTCTGAAGATTTTGTGTAAAATATTGAAGTAATTTTCGTAGTGTGGCGTAACGATCATCCTATCTTACAACGCCCTGTATGTGGCAGTTACGAATACCAATTTATGAAATACTTAAGCTTGTGTCGTTGGTAGGAAAATGGAAAATTGACAAGATGATGTAAATGTGATGTGGATATTAAATAGATTCCTTTGCACAATTTATTGTATATGTGGGAGTCCTGCAATTAATTAAATTAAATTAGACTAGTAGAATGCATTTGTGTCAGCTTGGAGTTGTCATGCTCACTCAAAGATCTCATTGGCGGTGGCGCCAAATTTCACACAATATTCATAATGTTACGTTAAATATTGTTTGTAGAAAAACATTAATATTTCAATTATATTTCTACGAACGTATACAGAACAAACAATACTACAATCGAGTCTTTGTTTAAATATTACGGGTAGACTAATAACATGAGTCTGAACATGGCCGACTGATTTTAATAAAGATATTTATAAAATAATGTCCTTGTTCGTCTGAAGGGTATTTAAATCAAATGTTGTAAGCACTGCCCCTTAAGGCAAGACGGCGGTGACTGGTGTGGCCACTAAAACCGCGAAAACCCTAAGGAAATAAAAAAGAAAAGAAAACATTTAAGCTAATATAGACCACACTTACAACATTTTTGGTTTTCATCGACTTAAGTGACAACTGAGGGTGCAGGTTCGAAACCTACCAACGGCAAGTACCAATGTGACTTTTTCCGAGTTATATGTACTTTCTTAGATTATTTAGACACCACTGACAAACGGTGAAGGAAAACATTGTGAGGAAACCTGGGCTTATAATTTCTAATTATAAGTTTGTAATCGCGAACCCGAATTGAGCAAGCGTGGTGATTAATACTCAAACCTTCTCCGTGTGAGAAGAGGCTTTGCTCAGCAGTGGGCACTTATAGGGTGATGATGAGGATGATGATGAAGTGACAACTAATGGTACAGGTAATGGGTTAGTTTATATGTTCCCTCACACTAAGTAACGCTTAGTTAAGAACCTCATAGTTGATAAAAACGACCATTATTGACGTATTATTATTATGTTTTACGGTATAAACCTAACCTTATGTTAGGTGAACGTATGGCTGATGAAGAAAGTGAACGTAGGCATACGTTATACCTATTTCCAATACATTTCTAAAACTAAACGGTGACGTAAGCAATTTGCTCTTTTCTTGGCCCCAATTTTGAAATCCAGTATACAACACGGCACCTGTTTGACATTTAGGCTACATCCTAACTCCGGGCACTCACTAATAAGAGGAATAACTTCATGTAATATTCCTAAAGCGTTTTGTCGGCCATATCGAAAATGTCTCATTATAATGTATTAACTTTTGTTAAAAATAACTTTTTAATATTAGCTTTTGTCTAGAAGTTTGTTAGTTTTACATAGATTCTGTTTTAATATACCTCAGGTTACTAAATGACTTAAAACAAACAAAACTAACTTATGTAGAGTGGCATTAGTCAAATAATATTTATATCTTACTGATTTACATACTTTAATAAATGCATCTTTCAGTCAGTATATTTGTTGAGCCTTTTTATTTTATTTCTTTGAACAATATTTCCCACTAAACAATGGCGTATAAAACAATACTTTAGTAACATATGTATTATATATTTATAACTGACACAAATGGCAAAAGAATGCATGCATTTTGTTTGCTACGAACTTTGCTACGGCGTAGCGCGGAATGCTACGAAATTGTGCTACGCATATGGAATGCTTTGCTACGTAAAACGTTGTTTATGTATGTTCTTAACAAATTTTTGACGTATAATAATTTATTGTTATTGTATTTAATTTCTATTCTATTAACTACACGAACACCAACGAGCAATGAAGATTTAAGTATAATTTAGTTTTTTGACCAACTTCAGTACGTATGGTAACGTTTTGTACGTATGTTAGTCCGCGATTATCTCGCGTTCACCTAAACCGATTTTGATGTAATTATCAGTAAAGTGTATGTTACACTTAGGCGTAGATTTAAGTACATTCACCGACTAAGAAAGTAAATTGATATTGGTTTTCTTCATTGAAATTATTATGATCATTACGTATGCGGCATCATTAATTCCTGGCTATTTAAATCAGACACCCACTTGCATGTCACTCTTCTAGCTCATTCAGAAGTATTGACAAGTTGTCACCAGTATATTTATAGGCCACTATTATAAGTGGATGCCATGCTCGGTGCGTGGCGTTTGTTTGATGCCAATGCACCTTTTGACATCGCTTGGACATCTGCCCACCCACAAAAGGAAGAAAACGATGACAAATTATAGAATTTACTGCTTGAGCCAGGTAATTTGTGAAAAGTATCTCAAGTGGAGGCAGAGGCTGTAATGAGTTAAATTGTTATTGTTGTTTATGTAATTGTTATATTTATTGTTGTTTCTATCTCGTGAACATACTAGACGACGTGGTGGACTAAAAGGGCGGCCTTTCTACAGAAGTGGACGTCTTCTGGCTGATGATGTTGATGACGATTTTCGACACCAAGTCATCACGATTAACTCACAGTAAATCAAACAAATATCTTTATAAACAAAAATGAATTTCCGTTCGTTAGTCTTGCTAAAACTCGAAAACGGCTGAACCGAATTGGCTAGTTTTGGTTTTGAAATGTTCGTGGAAATCCAGAGGCGGTATAAAGTTTGCCGGATCAGTTAGTCTTTCAAATATTATCCTAACAACCAAACTGTGGTCGTTCAGCTATCTTAAGGGACACACTTCTCCCTCCTATCATTGTAATACCTAACAGATTGAATATATCTTTCAATGATCATTAATGACTGTACATAGCACATCATCGCCCAATGCTGAATGATCTATTTACAGCTTAGATTAATTATATTAATTAATAACAATCCAAGTTGGATGCCTTTGGTACTCGGTGTGATCTCATTGGATGCTGAGCTATGGAGGAGGAGTCTTTGGGATACGTGTGATGGTACGGTCACATGTGTGAGTGTACATACACACGACAACGCTAAACAAAATCGGTATAAAGTGATCGTTCAATGTGCGGCAAGATCATACAAAGCTAAGCTGTTATAAATTGGTTTTGTATAGGTCGATGTTTAGCCGTGTAAATAGGTTTGTATTAGAACTAGGTTTTCTGAAAGGCTATATAATTATGTTTAATACCTATGTATATCTAAAACTTCTGCTGAAAATTCAATGATGATTGTAATGTGCTTAAATAATCGTTTTGTTTTTTTATATTTAATAGGTCGACGTTTTATCACTATCCCGCCTATTACTATTTGTTTGTATAGATATGTGAGTTTGAGAACGTATAATTAAGATCTATTGAATAAATACCGACGCTTTATGTAAATAGTTGTTTTTGTTTTTTCTTATAATTAATTTTAATCTTTAGTTGTATATAGGTATTTAATTTAGTAATATTTAGTTTTAATTTTTTAGTTTTAATTTAGTAATATTTAGTTTTAATTTTTTTTTTAAGTAATAGTTAGTTTTTAATTTAAGTTTTTTATTTGAATAAATGAATTTCAGCACTATCGAGATAAATAGTGAAGCAGATAATATTTAATGTATTTAGGATACAATTTCAATTTGTTTTTAGTAGAATATAGAATTGGATTCGTGTTATTAAAAGGGACTATGTCCAGCAGTAGATGGAAGCTAGCTGATGAATATTGGGATAATAACTATGCAATAGACATAAGGCACTGACATGTTAACATACGTAAGTTATGTTAAAACACTAAATTGAAGTGGTCTAACAAAACGAAATTATAGTCATCAGTAACATGAGGTCAGGCAGAAACTTAGCGATCATTATTCAAGATAAACTTATAAAAAAACTACGGTTCGTTAGCTTGAGTAAATATTACTACCTCTATAATGCATATTAAGTACTGATCACCTGGAACACCTAATCGCACAATAGACACCACTACATCCACACAGACTTCATAAAATGTAACATTTCTAACAGATACCATCAAAACAAAACAAATCAAAACAATTTACTTATCCGCAGTAACACAGTAAACAAGAACTCCACTACTTCACTAACTATAAACGCACTCACTGTTCACAAATCACTGGTAGACAATCACACCTACAGTGAGCTCACCTCAGCAGATCGAGATAGATTGAGTGGCGCTGAATCACACAATATAAAGAACATCAACTACCGAGCCAATTAATATTGATTTAGAAACACGTGGGCGTCCGATCATCAATGCCCACCGGTCTATCAGAAGGGTCGAGTGCACTGTCATCCGTTTGCTGGTTACAAATTTGGT